GAGAGCTGTCAGAGAATGTAGTGTGGATGGTGGAGGAGAGCTGTCAGAGAATGTAGTGTGGATGGTGGGAGGAGAGATGGGAGGAGAGATGTCAGGGGGAGAGAGAGATGTGGAGGAGAGCTGACAGAGAATGTAGTGTGGATGGTGGAGGAGAGCTTTAAGAGAATGTAGTGTGGATGGTGGAGGAGAGCTCTCAGAGAATGAAGTGTGGATGATGGAGGAGAGCTGACAGAGAATGTAGTGTGAATGGTGGAGGAGAGCTGTCAGAGAATGTATTATAGAAGGTGGAGGAGAGCTGTCCGAGAATGTAGTCTGGAGGAGAGCTATCAGAGAATGTAGTGTGGATGGTGAGGGGAGAGCTGTCAGAGAATGTAGTGTGGATGGAGGAGGAGAGCTGTCAGAGAATGTAGTGTGGATGGAGGAGGAGAGCTGTCAGAGAATGTAGTGTGGATGGAGGAGGAGAGCTGTCAGAGAATGTAGTGTGGATGGAGGAGGAGAGCTGTCAGAGAATGTAGTGTGGATGGAGGAGGAGAGCTGTCAGAGAATGTAGTGTGGATGGAGGAGGAGAGCTGTCAGAGAATGTAGTGTGGATGGAGGAGGAGAGCTGTCAGAGAATGTAGTGTGGATGGAGGAGGAGAGCTGTCAGAGAATGTAGTGTGGATGGAGGAGGAGAGCTGTCAGAGAATGTAGTGTGGATGGAGGAGGAGAGCTGTCAGAGAATGTAGTGTGGATGGAGGAGGAGAGCTGTCAGAGAATGTAGTGTGGATGGAGGAGGAGAGCTGTCAGAGAATGTAGTGTGGATGGAGGAGGAGAGCTGTCAGAGAATGTAGTGTGGATGGAGGAGGAGAGCTGTCAGAGAATGTAGTGTGGATGGAGGAGGAGAGCTGTCAGAGAATGTAGTGTGGATGGAGGAGGAGAGCTGTCAGAGAATGTAGTGTGGATGGAGGAGGAGAGCTGTCAGAGAATGTAGTGTGGATGGAGGAGGAGAGCTGTCAGAGAATGTAGTGTGGATGGAGGAGGAGAGCTGTCAGAGAATGTAGTGTGGATGGAGGAGGAGAGCTGTCAGAGAATGTAGTGTGGATGGAGGAGGAGAGCTGTCAGAGAATGTAGTGTGGATGGAGGAGGAGAGCTGTCAGAGAATGTAGTGTGGATGGAGGAGGAGAGCTGTCAGAGAATGTAGTGTGGATGGAGGAGGAGAGCTGTCAGAGAATGTAGTGTGGATGGAGGAGGAGAGCTGTCAGAGAATGTAGTGTGGATGGAGGAGGAGAGCTGTCAGAGAATGTAGTGTGGATGGAGGAGGAGAGCTGTCAGAGAATGTAGTGTGGATGGAGGAGGAGAGCTGTCAGAGAATGTAGTGTGGATGGAGGAGGAGAGCTGTCAGAGAATGTAGTGTGGATGGAGGAGGAGAGCTGTCAGAGAATGTAGTGTGGATGGAGGAGGAGAGCTGTCAGAGAATGTAGTGTGGATGGAGGAGGAGAGCTGTCAGAGAATGTAGTGTGGATGGAGGAGGAGAGCTGTCAGAGAATGTAGTGTGGATGGAGGAGGAGAGCTGTCAGAGAATGTAGTGTGGATGGAGGAGGAGAGCTGTCAGAGAATGTAGTGTGGATGGAGGAGGAGAGCTGTCAGAGAATGTAGTGTGGATGGAGGAGGAGAGCTGTCAGAGAATGTAGTGTGGATGGAGGAGGAGAGCTGTCAGAGAATGTAGTGTGGATGGAGGAGGAGAGCTGTCAGAGAATGTAGTGTGGATGGAGGAGGAGAGCTGTCAGAGAATGTAGTGTGGATGGAGGAGGAGAGCTGTCAGAGAATGTAGTGTGGATGGTGGAGGAGAGCTCCGGAATGGACTGGATCTGATGAGATAATTCATTCTCGGTGATAGGATTCTCCAGAAGTGAAAGTGAAAGTTACAATCTGTGGTAGAAATCTGTGATGTGAGCGGCTGGTCAGGGCCGATCGCTCAGATCTGGGCTATCCATGGAATAGAGTCACCATACAAGAATGAATTACAGTCATGTATAATGTGTACATTTACTAGGAAGGGGCGTGACCGATATGGAATAAATGAGTCCGGTGTATATAAGAAATCACTCTATAATATTATCAGAATGTCAGATATCTGTATACAGTAATGTTTGTATATTATAATTTGCTTTTCATTCTTTAGTTTAGACTCTTCTAAACCTCGATACAGTCACAATGCAGTCAGGAATACTCATTCATTTGCCAATATAACAGCCCATAGCACCCACATATACAGTGTCCCCCCCCATTTACAATGTATAGAGATTACCA